AACAACAACAAGTGCTGGCGAGGATGTGGGGAAAAGGGTACACTTGTACATTGCTGGTGGGACTGCAAATTGGTGCAGCCAATTTGGAAAGCAGTATGGAGATTTCTTGGAAAGCTGGGAATGGAGCCACCATTTGACCCAGCTATTCCCCTTCTTGGTCTATTCCCTAAAGACCTAAAAAGAGCATGCTACAGGGACACTGCTACTTCGATGTTCATAGAAGCTCAATTCACAATAGCAAGACTGTGGAACCAACCCAGATGCCCTTCAATAGACGAATGGATTTAAAAAATGTGGCATTTATACACAATGGATTATTACTCTGCATTAAAAAATGACAAAATCATAGAATTTGCAGGGAAATGGATGGCATTAGAGCAGATTATGCTAAGTGAAGCTAGCCAATCCCTAAAAAACAAATGCCAAATGTCTTCTTTGATATAAGGAGAGTAACTAAGAACAGAGTAGGGACGAAGAGCATGAGAAGAAGATTAACATTAAACAGAGATGAGAGGTGGGAGGGAAAGGGAGAGAAAAGGGAAATTGCATGGAAATGGAAGGAGACCCTCAGAGTTATACAAAAGAACATACAAGAGGAAATGAGGGGAAAGGGAAAAATAATACAAGGGGGAGAAATGAAGGTCAGTAGAGGGGGTAGAGAGAGAAGAGGGGTGGGGAGGGGAGGGGAGGGGGGATAGTAGAGGATAGGAAAGGTAGCAGAACATGACAGTCACTAGTATGGCAATATGTAAATCAATGGATGTGTAATTGATGTGATTCTGCAATCTGTATATGGGCTAAAAATGGGAGTTCATAACCCACTTGAAGCAAAGTGTGAAAGATGATATATCAAGAACTATGTAATGTTTTGAACAACCAACAATAAAAAAAATAAAAAATAAAGTGATCATTTAATCTGTCCAGACAGATTATGTTCTGTGGTCTGTAGAGCTGGATAATTCAGAGCAGCTTATTATAAATACTTAAAACAAAGGAAATGATTTACTTAAAAAAATAAAGTAAAAAAATATAATATTAACTGTTCCTTTGTGATGTCAAAAAATGCAAATAGAAAGTGAGTAGAAGGAAAAAAATTGTATTTTGCTTGGGATATGGCCAAATACCTGCATTGTTCCAAAAAGCCACATTTTTAGCACCATGTAGACCAACCATATGAATATTTGAATTTTTCTCTTTACAGCTGACAATCTTTATATGGTGCAGACGTTGGCAGAACTTCAAAGTTAAATTATTTCCAAATGCTTTTAATAGCATTTAATTAAAAATAAAATTTCTTTTAATACCACTCTCTCCACCCTCCCTTAAGTGCACCTACTTTTCATATTTTCAGGAAGTAGGGAGCAGGGTGCCAAGAAAGAATCTTTCTATTACTCTTCAAATTAAAAGAAGGCCTTACAATTACCTCCACAGAATTTCGGTTTCAGATGCACTATTAACTGGCCTCAATACACAGGCAAATAATTTGTCACAGATTGAAACACTGCTGTCTTTAAATCAACTTCCTGTCTATTAATAGCCGTGAAACACTAGGAAATTTTTTTTAAATGTGGAAAGGCACAAATACATTCATTCTTAACATATGTTCTTATATACGTACACAACATTACAGAATCTTATTTAAGAGTTAAATAACAAAATCAACTATCGGGATTGATTTGGAGAGAGAAGCATGGACCAATTGAATTTCTAAGGGTGTAGAGGTTCCTCCCTTTCTTCTTGCTCGATTTAGGTCCACACTTTCATCTATTATCTTTGTGCTGAGAGCAGCAGGGTTTTCTGGAGTTGTGTATTTCCATAACACTTTTCTGCTTACCTCTGAGCATCCCTCTGCTCTCCCGGAAACCCATCCACACCCACACACAAATGGTTGCAGATAGTGAGTATTTGCCATGCAAAGGAAATGAGCATTGCATAACTTCTTCCTTTCCCTTTTTAATATTGCATGACATTCTCATTGTGTACGATTAGACAGATGAAAGATATCTTTGTTTTGACTTGATCTGCAGTCCTTTTCACATTCATTACATGCATGGTAACAAGGAAAAAACCATGGTACCTTTGGGCACCATCTGATTCATCAGGAAATTCTTCCTGCTATGATGTATGGGTGGGGAGAACGTGCGTAATATGGTCCAGATGCACAGGCTGCCCTTCGCCAGCAATGCAGATGTGTTTTATACACTCATGCCCAGATGGTGACCCTTCTGGCATTAGTAATGTTTTCCAGACACCAAGCTTCCTCTTTTGCATGTAAGTGCCTCGATTTCACATTTTCATGTGTTTATTTATGAGGCACAGCATTCCTACATTTCACATGTGGCAGTTACTATTAAAAATGAGAAGTTTAAACTGCTCTGGAAATTGATAAAGAATCATTTAAATTGCTATGAAATGGGGCCCTCATTTCAAAATAACTTTTCGTACAACTATTGAATTCATAATGCAAATCTCTGACCCTTCTCTTTGCATGTTGATAAAATATGGTGCTGGGTATACAACTTAAAGATACTTAAGAAATTAAATATTTGCATATATAATGCATGGTAATGATTTTTAGCTTTCCTTTCATTTTGATCTCCAAAGCCTATTTTAAAAAGTAGTTATTCATTGTTAATTATTAATTAAATACAGATATCAACTAAGAGCAATTTGGGATCTTCCAGAAATGGTTCATTCTTATAAATCCACAGGGAGGGAACCCATTTTTTAAAAATATAGTCCAACTGTAGCTCCAAACTATTGTAGATTTCAACTCTATTGATTTGAAGAAATGGATCAGTCTTACAAATTTTGGCTCATGATCCAAAGCATTTTGATGAATTAAATTGAACTGACTCAACTTTTATTCAAAGAACTCATCATTTTTATGGGGAGAAGATAAAAAAGAAATCGTTATTACATGAAAAATACAAATGACAGATGATCCAATTTTGAAGGATGAAATATCAAAAGTAATAGAGTTTTAAAAGTTAGAAAATGTATAAATTATGATAGAAAACTTTCTCTGTAATCATCTAACAGGGAAGAAATAACCACAAATACTGAGGAGCTCTTTCTAAGGGGCTGTAATTTTTATTGTCAATGCCAGAGAGGGTCAAGGTTGCTCATGCTGAGTGTGAAGGTCAGTAGAGCTTGAATCCTACTCATCTAGATGTGGTTCCAGGTCTTCATGAAAATATTCTGCTTCCTTGAATAAAAATTGTACCACCTGTATAGATATACTTATCTCGGTGTCATAAATAAAGACTATAACTCAGTCATTAAGTTGGACCACACACACCTCATAGGATAGAAAATTGAGGCAATTATCTAATTCAGAAGAGTAAAAAATATTTCCTTTTCCATGAAAATATTCCCTGGAATTTAAAATCAAAACAAAAATTAGGTTATAGGATATCCCCCTGTGAACTCTCCAGATATTCATATCAGATTTGTTCCTTGGGTATTTTGGTTCAAGTGCATATGTATAATAACAATCTGAATGTTCTCTGAAAGATCTAGAGCAATTCTCGGACTCCAGATCTTCCGTTTTCAGGGAGGTGGCATCAAAATGAAAATAAAGAACCTGGGAAACACCTTCTTGTCCAACAATGAAAGCAGATGGCTATGACGTTGCCTTTTTAACTCACATTTTGAAGACCTGTCCAGTAGTTTCTGTTGTTGACCTTACAAGTCAAGGTCAAGCCCTTATTTAAAGGAGCCAAAAATGTACACACGGACTTTTCTCCTAAACCTTCCCTTTTTGCCACAAAGGTTAAGAAGTGTTAGGAAAACAAATGACATTAGCCTTCTTTATACTCAGGATGATGAGTATGAGATGCACAAATTCGAATAACTCTTCCCACATCCAGGCAGGTGTCATTTACCAGTGATGGGACTCTTCACTGCCAAATCAGCATCCAGATTCAGAATCCTCCACAGAGTGCTGCAGGTGCCACTGAAAATTAACTTCTACACTTGGAGACAAAACCTCTTTGCCATTCCCTTTATGTTCATTGTGAGCAAATAATAGGTAATTAGTCTGAATGGGTAACACATAAAAGACCAGAGGTTACTGCTATTGTCCAAACCTCTCTGCCTCTCCAAAAAGAGAGGACTGGCTGGCCTTAGGTCTTCTCTAAAAAGAAGGACTATTACTACGGTACCCTTGTCAAGTCAGTGACTCACACAGCCCATGGGATTGGGGACAGCCAGGTTAAAGGACCCTCTGCAGGTTACTTGAACTCGGGTCAATGACATAGTCCACAAAGGGGTTATACAGAGAAGAAAAAGAGTAATCCACACATTGGGCCACCTGGAAAAGGTATCAGCCACCAAAGAAGAGAGACTGGTGAGATGCAGATCCAACAGTCAGGGCAAGGTCGCTAAGCTGCAGAGCACACTGGGACGGCAGGTAGAACACGTCCCAGAGCAATCCCAGAGCTACCTTTAAGTCACTGTCACTCCCTCCTTTGGCACCGCTGTGTACTTTCACATGGGCACGTGATAGCTCTGGGTAATGCAGCGTGGTTCTCAGGGTTTCCTGCCCAGCATCTCCTTTGATTAGCCCAGGCATCAGTATCCCCAATTTTATAACTCTAGGGAGACCTGTATGTCCAAAACACATTGCTGTTGAGGCCCCAAATGGCTTCTGAAATAGTGAGATGAAAGGAGGTGACAGAAGATGGATATTTTGGATTGTCACCCATTTGGATATCAGATGGACGCACCAGTTCACTCCATAGCTTGGCATGTGTAGGAAAAGATCATGATTGAACGGTGAACCAGTTGCTTGGTGCAGGCATGATGGTAAAGGCATGCCCCACAGAGCAGATTCTGAGTGTCATTAGAGTTAGCTCAGTGGCAGAACTTGTACTTGGCATGCACGAGGCCCAGGGTTCAATCCTCAGCACCAAAAGATAATTTTAGAAAAACAATAATGGAAATGCCATCCAGGCCCTCGGTCACTGAAGGAGTCTTTCTGTTCATTTCTCTGACAGCTGGTAACCTTGCTGCAGATGTGGGTCGTCCCTTTGTATTTTACGATAAAGCTTTACTGGTGGCGGTTTCTATCCATGTGGGGAATGTTCTCGGTGATCACCAGTTATATCCTCTTCAGAGCTACCCGAAAACCCCTCTCAGGGAGAACACCACGGTATGTATTGCATTCCTTCCTTCCCCAAGAGCCCCTTTATTTTAAAACTTAAAAGGTATATTGGACGTCCTTTTCCCTAGGAAGGTGGGGGGAGGCGGTTACACTTCCTCTGAACTTCTTTTACTTTTGTTATCAAAACTATTTGGAGACCAGCTGTACTAGTCTTCATTCACACTCCTTATCTAATGGTGATTCAGACATGCCTATAAAATTTATAACTTCAGGTATGAGCTCATGAAGGCCAGGAGAAAGAGAAGTGAAACTGTTTCTTAAAATTTTCTAGAGCACTGTTTGCATGATTATTTTTAGCTCAGCAAATAGAGCAAGAGTTGAAAGTTTATGCTTCAACCTGAAAATATATATTATAAGTAAGAGGCAAACATTACTCTCACAAGAATTTTTTGTTTTCTTTTTTTGTTTGTTCGATTTGGGGTACAGGGGATTGAACCCAAGGGTACTTAATCCCTGAGCCACACCCCAGTCCTTTTTTGTATTTTAGTTAGAGACAGAATCTCACTGAGTTGCTTAGGGCCTCACTAAGTTGCTGAGACTGGCTTTGAACTCGCAATCCTCCTGCCTCAGCCTCCCAAGCTACTGATTACAGGCATGTGCCACCAAGCCCGACTCATAAGGATCATTTAATTGCTATTGCTAATCTCTTCAGATTGATAGACTTCTGTTGTATCATGCACAAATCTTAAGAGCTTATAATGTGCCTACAGGTTTGTTCTTACTTGTTCTGGGCGAGATACAAATCACCAAGACGAAACTACAATGAGATAATGAAAAAGTATATAAAATTACTTTATATACTTTTTTTTATAAAATAATTTTTTTATAAAATTATTTTGACTTTTTGTGGAGAATAAATCATAAGCTTCTGTGTAATAGTTTCATGATTACTTACCCATTTAGATGTTTTATTATCCTGTAAAATAGTAGGAGAGATAAACATTAAACTTTCCCTTCTAGAGAAGAAGATGCAGGGAGATACATAAGATAAATATGATGATAAAAATTGAAATTCAAATATACCAACTCAGGTTTATGAGTATTTTAATTCCACTTTGGGAAGAGCTTTGTGGCAGTGTTAGATCTTCTAACACCAGCCAGGTTGGGGTCTTGGACAGCCATTGTACAACCCCATTTACCCATCAGTAAAATGGAAACATCACAATCTTTCTCCTTCTTACAATGTGTTATAAGTTAATTAAGATTTAAAGTGCTCTGAGCTTTGGATGAATCCAGATGTACCTGTCTCTCTATATTCATCATATAGAACAGGATCTGTATTGTATTTGAATGAGGCCCACGTGCCCACTGTATAATGAATCACCCTAGCTAAATACAGTGTTTCTGGACCCATCAGTTCACCCAGTGCAGAGGAAGTTTGTTACAAGAAGCATCACGTGCTGCTTCATCTTCATAGCTGACATTTCAGATGGCCAAGGTATCACGCCATCTGCTTCTCATGCACATAGCAGATCCACCTCAGCTTCTTCCTGCCTGGCCAGCTCTGCCCCCTGGAGTACCATCTGAGAGCCAAGAGCTGTCATTAGATCCAGCTGACATTGGAGGAGACAAAATGGGAAAGGCTAACAAGGGCCTATTCTAGAAAAGCAGCAAGATAAAGGGGCCCCTCTGTATGAGGGGTAGTAGGCCTTTGATTTTTTTTTATGGGCCTTTGATTGCTCATGTTGCATATGAGTCACATCTTAGCTGCCTGCCATTTGGAAGCAGAGGATTTCCTTCCAGGCTAGGTTAGCTGGGCAAAGCAAGTCAACATTGGTGCAAAAGGTAAATTCAAGAAGTATGGTCTCCAGCACCAACAGAATTTGAAACTCAGCTGTTCCTCCACTGGAGCACGCCAAGCCCCTGCTGTGGTACAGAATACCAGAGAAGGGGAAGTGAATTTCCTCTTTACTACTATAGTTGGGTTGTTTGGCAAGCAATGAAGTTTAAGCTCAATTAAAAAAAAAAAAAAAACAGGCCACACACAAGCCACCGAGAATTCAACTTGGCCACATCAGTTGTAACCCAAGGTCAAGCTCTCATTTGGATGCTGCTTGGCCTCCAATAACACAATTGCTCAATAGCTTTAGAGGTGTAAGTTTGAGTCATGAGAAAGTTCTGGACTCTGCTATTTCTGGAAACTTGTATCCCAATAAACTGGAAGATTATGATGTGGAAAATCTAACACATTCATAACAATGTTGAAGCATATTGAGCATTAATGTGTTTAGGCCCGTTTTTTTGGGGGGTGTACTAAAGACTGAACTCAGGGCACTTAACCACTGAGCCATGTGCCAAATCCTTTTTATTTTTCCTTTTGAGTTAGGGTCTCAGTAAGTGCTTAGGGCCTTGCTTAGCTGCTGAGGCTGGCCTAGAACTTTCGATCCTCCTACCTCAGCCTCCAGAGCCACTGGAATTATAGGCATGCACCACCATGCCCATCATGTGCCGGTCTTTTTTTTTTTTTAACATTTTAAATTTAAGTTCTAATTAGTTATACATGACAGAAGAATGTTCTTTGATACATCATACATAAATGGAGTATGACTTCTCATTTTTCTGTTGTACATGATATAGAATCACACCAGTTGTGTAATTATATATGCACATAAGGTAATAATGTCTGATTCTTTATTCTGTTTTCTTAATCCCATATTCTCTCCCCTCCCTTCACACCCCTCTGTCTAATACAGAGTACCTCTATTCTTCTCTAGACATCCCCCACACTTATTGTGAATTAGTATCTGCATACCAGAGATAACATTTGGCCTTTGGTTTTGGGGGATGGCTTGTCATGCTTAGCATGATATTCTCCAGTTCCATCCATTTACTGGAAAATGCCATAATTTCATTCTTCTTTAAGTCTGAGTAATATTCCATTGTGTATATGTACTACATTTCCTTTATCCATTCCTCTGAGGTCTTTTAAACACGAATCCATCATCTCACTATATCATCATCATAATCATCATTATAATCTTCAGTAGGATGTCAAGAGTTGGCAGTATATAACCTTACTTTACAAATGATGCAGTCATAGGAAGAAATGCCAAGTAAGTTGACCAAAGTCCACAGGCGGTGAGTGGCCAGCCCAGGGTCAACCAAAGGCTACTAACGCAAAACAGGCTGTGGGTTCATGAAATCAACAAACTCTTCTGCACAGACAGACCTTGTAGTTCAAAAAGCTGTTAGTCCTGGAACCTCTCCCACACTGGCACAGCTTTGAGAGAGGCTCCTCAAGGCAAGAACAGGGTGTGCCGAGTGCTTGAGTGTGCAAGGAGCACAGCCTCTGGTGTTGGCCGGCCGTGGGGGCTAGTGGGAGGACCCCTTAGAGCTTGCCCACTTCCCCATCATCACCCCTTTTAGCAACAAACTCCCCCCTTGATCTGGCTGCACTGAGATCCAAACTGCTCAACACAAGCAAATCCAAAGAACCTGTGGCCCAAGTGTCACTGTGGCAGAAAGACCCCCAAAGCCCCCTCTGGCCTGCCCCACCTCACAGTACCGTAAGCCAGCCCAGGGCAGCCTTGCAAGTGCCCAGCTCCACAGGATCCACCAGGCCTGCGGCTCCCACAGGACAGGAGTACACCCAGGGAGGAAGTGCCTGCTCACACGAACCTTAGGTGTTGGTTTATTGAAAGGGAGAAAGCATCTCACTACAGAAATGATCTAAATGGCCATTCATTTCTCACGCTGGCCCACAAGCCCCATTAAACCATAATGGTACAGAAAGGCCCAACTACTGGAACTCGATGAAAGAAAGCATCTTTTAAAACCAAAGCTTGCAACAGTGACATCATAGAGCTTAAGCATTCAGTGCATTGGCCCCAACGGGGAGCGAGCTGCAAGGGAGAGGCTCGGAGGCCAGAGGATGGGGCGGAATCTCCAGTGAGATTCTGAGTGTGGTTTTGGTGTTGGGTGAAGGGCAGGGAAAGGGCAAGGGCCAAGCAAGCCTCCTGCCACTGTTCATCCTGTGAGCCATGTTCCAGCCACCCCTGTATTGTCTTCAGGCACCAAAGACAAGCCCCCAGCTTCTTCCCTCACTCCCTGCTCCAGTGGGCTTCGCCCTCCGCCATGGCTCACCAGGAGCAGAACTGGACTCTCAACCTCTTCCCTCAGCCTCCTAGGCCTTGCTGCTGTTCTTCTAAAGGCTTTTACAGTCAGGGAAGACGGAAACAGGCAGGGAGCAGGGCTCCCTCCAGCTTCCTCTCTCTCCCTCCATCCTTACCTCCCCCTAGTCCCTGTGAGAAGAGGGAAAGCCTCGGGGCCTCCTGGTGAATCATGGGCTGTGCACATGACCTGTTCACATAGCAGAAGTCAAGGCTCAAGTGCTCTTGTGATTGCTTCCCCAGGGCTACAAGAGGGACTTTTGGGGTGAGGAAGGAGGGCTGGGCCCACGACTGAGCTAGGGATCCAGGGGTGACACCGCAGGAGGGAAGTGGGACTATTGGAGGGGGGCTCTCCTCTCTTGACTTCTCCCATGATACTTTGCTTCCCTCAGAAGCAACTCCTGCCAAAACCACTCTAAAGGAAGCCTTCAGCCACACGAGAGGGTGGGGAGGGGAAGGCAGGGTCCCAGGTAGAGGAACACTTCCTGAAAGTCATGATTACGTGACAGACATAGAGAAGCTAAAATGCTTATACCAAGAAACACATGAGCATGAGGGTAGCTTTTATCCACTTGCTGCTATTAGATTAAAACTGTAGATTATTCTTTCTTTTTAAGTATTTTTTAGTTGTGGATGGACACAATATCTTTATTTTATTTATTTATTTATTTATATGTGGTGCTGAGGCTTGAACCCAGTGCCTCACATGTGCTAGGCAAGTGCTCTACCACTGAGCTTCAACCTCAGCCCCAAAACTGTAGATTATTCTTGAATTCAGTGTATGTGTGTGTGTGTGTGTATGTGTATACACACACATGTATACTTATGTGTATCTACTTCTATACTTATGTTCTGTATAGTATGTACTACATCAAATTCTAGAAACTAAGAGTTGATTTGTAACAATGTTTGAAAAAGATAAAATACTTTATGTCACGTGCCATGTTTCTCCCTATTTTTCATTTACAGATTGGTGTACAAATGGTTCCTCCTAATCTATAAGCTCAGCTATGCATTTGGCGTTGTGGGTTACTTGGCTATCATGTTTACAATGTGTGGATTCAACTTATTTTTCAAGTAAGTGTCTCCAATTTTAGGATATGGCTGTCTCAGCACTTGCTTGAAATAGTCACCTGACTGTGTTCTCTCATCTGGGAGCATCTGGACCTGTATGTTCCAGGAACAGAATTTTTATAGTAGATATCCACACATCATCTTATTATTGGGGGAATCCCAAGAAAAGGAGCACTCCACAAAACAAAAGAAAAAGAAATTAAATTAGGATCTTTAAAGAGAATCTATATACTTGATCTACAAATTTGAAACAACACAATTGAAAGTGGGTCTCCAGGGGTGGTAGAGGAAATCCTTACTGAACTACAAGGTTCCCCTGTGAAATTCTAGAGTCCAGACCTCCTTCACACACCTTCTTCCTTAAAACCTTTAGAACTTCACTGCCCAATATGGTGGTCATGTGACCACCAAGCATTTTAAAGATGAAATAAAATGCCATTAAGTGTAAAATACATACTGGATTTCAAAACCAGAATGAAAAATATTTTTATTGAATACATATTGGATGATGGTATTTTAAATACAGGTGGGATAAATTTTATCTGTTTCTTTTTACTTTTTTAAAGGTTAACACATTTGAAAGATTTAAAATTGCAGTCACGTATCTGTCATTTACTGATGAGAATACGTTTTTGAGAAATGCGTTGTTAGGCAATTGCGTCATTGAGAGCCCTCACACAGTGTATTTACACAAACTAAGACAGACACCGTGTCACTAGGTGATATTTTCTTATGGAACCATCGTGATCCATGAGTCCATAATTGAAATGTCATTATGCAGCTCACAGCTGTGTTTCCACTGGTCTCCATTGAAAATATGTCAGAATTTTGTTGTTAGTATCATGAAATCTGTTGTTGGGGAAAGTTGAAAAAGGAGAGAAGTGGGTACTTAGAAACAAACAGAAAGAATAACAGAAGAGAAACGCTTTTGAGAAATAAAGGAAACTGGGATAACGGTGTCTATGACTCAGTTCTGTGCCCCCATTTGGAAGGAGCTTGCTGGATTGTGCTGTGATGAGATTCTCACAGGCAGAGCTGAGGCTAGTGGTTGCTATTGTATTAAGATTCTTCTCTACGAGCCGCAGGTTTGTTACTATACTTTTTATCAATAAGCTTTTAAATCCAAACTGCCCTGCAGGTGGAGGGAAGATGGTCTTTATCTCTCCACTACCCTAATCCTCAAATACACCCAAGCAAATCCTGAAAGGACTCACATCACCAAAAAAAAAAAAAAGAATCTATCTCCTAAATCTACAAAGCTTTCTGCTTTTACCATGTTCTCCTTAAATTAACAGAGCACAAAAGCAATCAAAAAGAGATTCTAGACACAGACCACCCAACTCTGCTCCATGTTCTGCTCTGTCTTCAGTGAGTCCCAGCAGGCCACCCAGGCTTTGGAGATTGTCTTACAAATCTAATAAAGCAAATGTGCAAGGATTAAGATTCATTCAGTTTTTAAAAGAGATCTTTCCCTTTAAAAGGAGGGGCATGATCACAAAAGAATCCTAGTGAATTTAAAATATGATTCAATTTGCAGGGGAAATATTTTTTGTTGTTGCTCATACATATCAACAATGGCATAAGAGTTATGGGTCTCAAAATCTGAGCTTAATTCTTAGCTTTGTTATTGTACCAATTGTCATGTGAAGGAAATAATTTTTTTTCTAGTCACTGTGTTTTCACATGCAAAATGAGAATAATATCTAACACATTTGTTAGGTAAGAAAAAGTATATGAAGGCACTTTGTAGAATCTAAGTGCTAGACCCTTCCTGTAATGTAGAATCACCTGACAGGATCTTGGAAACTACTACTGGCCAGGCCCTGCCCAGACCAATTAAGCCAGAGTCCTCATGGTGGGTCCATTCACGCACCAGTATATTTTTAGATTTCCCCAGGTGACTCTAATCTATGTTTCGTGCCAAGAATCATATCTAGTGGGTTTTAACATTAGCTGCCCATTTGCATCCCCTGGTGTACAGGAGCTTTAAAAATCATTGCTGCACAGGTCCCATCCCCAGAGATTCTGATGTAATTGAGCTGGGGTGTGGCTAGACATGGAGATGTTTCTATATTCAACCCACCTTGAGACTCCTGGTTAGAATGGACTTATCTAAGCACTGAAAACCTAAGACACATTTAAAGACTCTAGCAGTATCCCTTGACCTGTGGTTTTACCTTCTTTGGTTTCAGTTACCTACAGTCTACCATAATCCTAAATATTAAATGGAAAATTCCCAAAATAAATAATTTTTAAATTGTACACTGTCCTAAGTAGCCTGATGAAATCTTGTACCGTCCCACTCTATCCCACTCAGGATGTAAATCACCCCTTTGGGTAGTATACCCATGCTATATGTGCTACCTTCCTTAGTCGCTTAGCAGTTAACTCAGTTAGTTACCAGATCATCATCTGTCGTGATATCACTGTGCTTGTGTTCAAGTAATCCTTCTTTTATTTAATAATGGCCTCAAAGCACAAACTTTTATTATAGTATATTGTTTCAGTTACTCTATCATTTGTTGTTAACTTCTTACTGTGCCTGATTATAGATTAAACTTTATCTTAAGTCTGTGTGTGGGGAAAAATAGTGTGTATATAGTTCAGTACTAGCCAGATCTCATGCATCTACTGGTGATCTTAGAACATATCACCTGGGAATAAAGGGGACTACTCAAGAATTCCTTTGTCCATTGACGCTGGGTGGTACAGTTGGAAAGAAATTTAGAGAATTTAAAAATGTTTCCTATTTTAAAAAAAGAACTAAATAAATAAGTGAAAAAGTACATATCCACAGGGCTCTTTTTTACAGACTGTGGCAAGAGATCTTTTCCAAGCTCCAGCTTTTCCTCTGTTCCCCCAAGGCCACTTCATTATTCCCTTTTACTGTTTTCAATAGAATCAAGGCTAGAGATTCCATGGATTTTGGCATTGTGTCCTTGTTCTATGGCCTCTACTATGGGGTAATGGGGAGAGACTTTGCGGAGATCTGCTCAGATTACATGGCTTCTACTATAGGGGTAAGTATTGCTTTCATTGTTTGAAACCATTTATGACACAAGGAGAAATGGTCTCATCTTACATATTTGCATCATTTCCTTTGGTTCTATTTTGAATATTCCAACCTCATTGTTCCCTGGATTCTCCTTGCATCCAAAAAAAAAAAAAATCTTTTTTGATTAATTTGAAAGTATATTTTATAAAAAAAATTTTAATAAGAAAGTACATTTTTTATATAGAATGGTTGGGGAATAAGACATCTTCTAAAATATGCTGACTCTTTGAGTCATCATACCTCACGTACTATAGATGGCAATGTTTAAAGGATTCATAAAAGATCAACCTTCCAGGTGCAGTTGTATTTCCTGCAACTTGGGAGGCTGAGGCAGGAGGGTTGCAAATTTGAGACCAGTCCCAGCAACATAGTGAGGCCCTAAGGACTTACTGAGACCTTTTCTCAAAATAAAACAAAAGAAGGGCTAGGGATGAGGTTCAGTGGTTAAGCAACCTTGGGTTCAATCCCTGGTACCAAAAAAAAAAAAAAAAATCAACCATAAAAAATTAAAGAAAAAAAAAACCCTGTATCTCTCTGAAAAAAAAAACAAAAAATGCTGCCTAATGCAAATAAAAATCTCATTTGAGGAACTTGCCTAGCAAGCATAAGGTTCTGGATTTGATCCCCATCATTGAAAAATAATTCACATTTGATACTACATAAAACACTTCATACTCAACAATAATGTAGGGCAATACTTATCATAAAGATTGCTTATCATTACACAGCAACTGAAGAATGAGAAGATAGAAAAATGTGCTAAATGTGTTCTGACTGTATATTGTAATTGGTGACTAGAAGTGTTTTAAATCTCAAATAGTTGTGGTTCCTTTTTCCCCCCCAAACTTTCTGAAAATTGAAATTCGGAATGGATATACTTTCTAGTTAGATGGATTCCAGACTCAAATCTTAGGAACATTCATCTGTGTCTGGCATATGCACATCTCTAAACACTTACAAACAAAGGGCTCCAGGTTTCAGGTATTCCACATCCTGTCTACATGCCTCTGGGTACACAGCCAGATATGAAATGGAAAAATTAGTGTACATAACAAGAGTGGACTTCTTTCCATTTGTAGGGCAGAACCTAAATGGACATGACCTTGATATCATCTTCACCCCATTTGTCCTTCCACTCCACCAAGGGCTCTATTATACTCTCCTCCAGAGCCTGCAACCCAACTTCTGTGGTACAATTCATGACCCTTGGAATTCCTCTGCCAAGTGTTATCTGTGGGACAAGTGCATTTCTTATAAGGTTCAAGGTGAGCACAGGAGGAGCATCTTCACTCTCTTTTCCAACAAAAAAATCACAAGTCACACTCCTATGACAATTCCCAAAGCCTCTTGTGCTTGTTTATGAACAGGAAAGGAAGAGAAGGGTTGTATGTGCTCTGTTCTCCAGTGGACCGAGAAGAGACTTCACTGGGTGAGATAACCAAGGACTTAAGCACCAACTTTCTGTAGAGTTCTCACCTGATCTCACATCTCTGGTCATCAACATCTTGTCATCCTCTGTCATCTTCATTCCACTTACCAAATCTATAAAAACCACTGTCCCAAGCCATTGGCACAGCCACCAATGATTTGGACTAATTTGGGAGGGGGGGTGCTTGGGACTAAGTAAGGAAGAAGCTAAGGGGGAGCGATCGCTCTTCCCATACCAGTGCCTGAGCCCACAACAGATCAATTAAGCCAGAATCTCTGGGAGTGATGCCAATGCATCTGCTTTGTTTTAAAAGACTCCTTAGAAAAAGAAATGAACTGACTATTAAGCCATCCAAAAATGGGAGTGAATTTTAAATGCATATGGCTGAGGGAGAGGAGCCTGTCCAAAAAGGCTCCATGCTGTATGATTCTGTTTATACAACATTTTGGAAAAGGCACAACTATAGCACTGCTGAACACATCAATGGTTGCCAGGGCCTTAGGGAAGGAGTAGGGTTTAATAGGTGAAGCACAGGGAAGGTTTTATAGTAGTGGAAAACCTCTGTTTGATGCTGGAATGGTGGATACATAACACTCTGCATTTTTCAAAACCCATAAAACTATGTCACAGAAAAGATGACCCTTTATGCATGAAAATTTTAAAAATTATAGCAGAGGTCAGAAAAACCCAGGGTAGAAGGTAGACTGTGACAAAAGAATCTAAATGTATTTGAAAAAAATAAAAAGTGCGGAGCAGAATGTGTTACCCAAGTAGCTGAAATGCATAGAGATTGTAAGACTAAAAGCAAAAGGCATTATGTTATAGTTGATAAAGTCATTGCTCTCAGACTATGGATTACAATTTTGATACCACTATTCATGTACTCTGAAACGGAACCTGTAAGTGGATGGCTGATAATGGAAGCTAGGTTTCTCACTGTCTCAATGAGAGATCCCTGCCAAGCAAAGAGAAGAGGTTAGAATGATCTGTGCAGGAATAAATTAGGATGAATAAGAGATATTAGTATGAACTCCTGATTAGCTTAATACAGATGCAGATGAATACATACAGAAACATTTTCAGGTCTGGGTACATGCACAGCTTGGTTCACAAGACACATTTCCTTGCTCTGTCAGTTAAGAGGTCCTAGAAGCAATGACACTCCAGTGGCACACCTAGGACCCAGGGGTTGGTTTCTGGTACCGTTCTGCAATAAAAGTAACCAGGGCTTCTTGGAGAAATGACTTCATTAAAGATCTGAACAAGGAATATAGATCTGAACAATGACTTCATTCTCTATGTGAACAAGAGCCTGGAGCATCCTGGAGGACTTGAAAGTAAGGCCATCCTAAAACCAAGACTAGGAAAAAAAAGAAAAAAAAAAAACCCACAAGGATGGAGATGTCAAAGAACCACAGAAGCAAACCAGAAGAGCTCCCAGTAGCCAGAGCTGGAAGTTGGGCAACAAAACAGTAGCAGTACTAGGTTATAACACTATCCGTCCTCTCTTCGTCACTGTGAAAAAAATACCTCATAAAACAACTTAAAGGAGGAAAAGTATATTCTAGCTCATGGTCTCAGAAGTCTCAGTCCATGGCCAGCTGGCTCCATGGCTTTGGGCCCGAGGTTAGGCAGTCACTATGATGGAACAGTGTGGTGGAAGAAAGCTGCTCAGCCAATGGCATCAGAGCGGGCGGGGAAGGGACCACAGACAAGCTATAATCCCCAACAGCGTGCCCAAGGGCGTGCCGACTGACTTCCTCTAAGTATGCCCATCCTGCCTGCAGTTTCCACCACTGCCCAGGAGTGCATTCAAATTTTTAATCCATTGTTATGGTTTAGATGTCAGTCATTCCCCAGAAGATACGTGAGACAATGCAAGAATTTTCAGAGGTTAAATGATTAGGTTAATCTAATCTGTGGATCAGTCCACTGGTGATTAACTGTGGGCAGGTAGGTTGTGGCTGGAGGAAGTAGGTCACTGGGGGTGTGACTTTGCGGTTTATATTTTGTCCCTGGTGATCAGAGGTTCTCTCCGTCTCCCTCCCCCCACTTCTTCCTGTTACCTTGTCCTAAGCCACTTTCGTCCAGACACTTCTCTACCCTGGTGTTTTGCCACATCTCGGGCCCAAAGCTATGAAGTCAGCTGACCGTGGACTGAACCTCTCAAGCCAAGAGTCTCAAACTTTTTGTCATCTAAATTGTTCTCATCAGGTATTTTGGTCAGAGTGACTCAAAAAAACTGATGAAAACATCCATTGAATGGATTAATGCACTGACTAGAACCTAATGAGGCTAGAGCCCTCATGATCCAATTATTTCCTGAAAGCCCCACCTGTAAACATTGCTGCATTGGGAACTAAGCTTTGAACACATGAGCTCTGGGGCGGGGGGACGTTCTGGATCCAAAGCATAACAAAGCCAAGTATAAAATAAACAGCTATATATGACCATATTCATGTAAATAAGTGATCAAATAAATAAATAGATGGAGAATAGATAAGTCCATGAGGAATAGTTCCACATAACTGACGTTGCTGATGGAGGTTGTGATGGTTCAACTTTGTGTCCATTTACCGAGGCTGTGGTGCCCAGTTGTCTGTTAAGCTCTGGTCTAGATATTGCTATGAAGGTATGTCATGCATATGATTAACTTCTATAATCAGCTGACTGTAAGTGAAGGAGGTTTACCCGTGGTAATGTGGGTGGACCTCATCTAATCAATTAAAGGCCGAAAAAAACAAAACCTGAGGCTTCCTAGAGAAGAAGGGATCCTGCCTCAACAGCAGCACCAACTCTTCCCAGGGTCTCCAGCCTACTAGCCTTTCCTGCAGGTTTCTGACCGACAGTCCCCATAAACATTAAAATGAATCAGTAATTGTAATAGAGGAAATGGGGTGTGTGGCACATGGGTAGTCTGTGCTATGTCTGTGTTGATCTCTTAAAAAAAAAAAAAACCTATTATAAAATAAATATCTTATTTTAAAAAAAAAAAGTATTTCCTAGGAACTCTAATGTGCCACTAATGCTGAGAACCACTTCTCATCCACAGAAGACGCAGTATCCCAAGTTAGAATTGTGGTGATTAGTCTGTGTGCTCCCCAACCAGAACATGGGAATTAAGGAGGGGGGATAAAAGATGCCAGGATTTTCTGCAGATCTCTGAAACAGAATCTCCAGGAGAATAAAGAGAAGGGCCAAATGAAGGATAAACCCAAAGCTTCCCTTATGATTCTGAACTACCGCCCTGGATAAAAGCGATTCATTTCAAGGGATTCCTAAATACTGAGGTTCAAAGGGTGGTTTACAGGTGGTGATGCGCATTGGGTCCACCTGGGATTCAGGGTTGTATCTCGTAACTCCTTTGCAGCATGGGCCCCACAGGAAAAGATGTCAATTTGTCACCCAACTGAGAAGCAATGAAGACTCCATGCACCAAGGGCTGCCTGTCCGGCACCTGGCCGTGGCTGCCCTGCGGTCAGTGGCGGCTGCTCTCCTGTCCAGCAGCGCTCTGTTTTTTCCCCTAACAGTTCTACAGCGTCAGCGGGATGCCCACAAGGAGCTTGGCTGACGACATCTGTGCCGTCTGTGGACAGAGGATCATCGTGGAGCTCGATGAAGAGGGGCTCATTGAAAACACCTACCAGCTGTCGTGTAATCACGTGTATCCTTCCCTGGGAACCCGCGGCCTTCCTCCTTCCTCGGGCTTCTGTCTTCCCTCCCTTTCCTCCTCCTGTCCCCATCTCCTCTTCCATCTCCAAGTCCCAGACCTTTGTCCTCCAGCCCAGTCTTTGGAGACTTTCTGATAATCTTTGCTGAATAATGAGCTGCCAATTAAAATGAACTCCAGTAATGTCCCTTTTTCTTTTTGGTGGCAGTACAAGGGATTGAAGCCAGGGTGCTTACCACTGAGCTATATCCCTAGCCCTTTTATTTTTATTTGAAACAAGGTCTCACTAAGTTGGCCTTAAACTTGTAATACTGCCTCAGCCTCCTGAGTCACTTGGATTACAGATGTGCACCACCGTGCCTAGCCAGTAATTTTCTTTTTAAAGAGGACTCTTAGTGCCACGTGGCCAGAAAGGCTGCAGCACCTGAGCAGGATGTTGCCTGCGGAAGCTGGTAGAAACCCCAAGTGAGCACATAACTAAGAAAGTCTAGGGAAAGAAGGAGATTAAGGGTGAGAGAAAGAGTAAAAGTAGGGGGCTGGAGGTGGAGTTTAGGCATAGAGCACGTGATCAGCATGCATGAGGCCCCGGGTTCCATCCCCAGAACCAAAACCAAAACAGAACAGTGAAGTGTCAAGTGGAGGGAAGAACTCAAGACTATTCAGGAGGAGCTGATGTCTGAGTCTTTTTTTTTTTTTTCAACCAGGGATTGAACCCAGGGTTGCTTATCCACTGAGCCACATCCCCAGCCCTTTTTTATTTTTGTTTGTTTTGAGACAGGGTCTCACTCAGTTACCTAGGGCCTTGCTCAGTAGCTGGGGCTGGCTTTGAACTTGCAATCCTCCTGCCTCAGCCTCCTGAGCCACTGGGATTAGAGGCATGTGCCATCACGCCCAGCCTGGTGTCCAAATCTTGGTGGGCCAAAAAATCTAAAGTGTGCTTTTGCCTAGAGAAAATCCTAGGAGCCCCCTTGTAGAAAAAGGAATCATAGTGGGTGGCCAAGGGAGAAAACCAAACCCTTTTATCAGCTTTTTTGGAAGAAGTGTTAAAAATAATAGTGCCACAAGCAGCAGAACACCTTAAATGACAAAAGGAAGGCCCAATATGTGACTTCTTGTTCTTTAATCATTTGGCTCCTCTGTCTGTGGGTTTTTCCTCCAACAACTCTCTATTGACTGAGGCATCTTGATGTGGGAGGTATCAGACAAGCCAGACCTGGAAGCTAGCATTATTGGGAACTCCAGGCACCCCTGATAAGGGCCTCAGTAGATTGAAAAATGCTGGCATCAAGAATCATGAACAAAGCATGGGCCGTCCAAGCATGTAACTATGGATATCCAAGTTGTGTTGGGGTTGGCCAACAGTCCATACTTTAATTTGTTCCTAAATAAAAAAAGCATAATTTATATTTATTTTATAATACAGTATCAATTTTATAACATTATCTCTGTATACCCAGCCAAATCAAAGCTCTGGCATTATGAAATGGTTATACCAGCTGTCGTGTACCGCTGACACCCGCCTATTTCAGTCAGTAATACCTAATGCCTTCGATGTGCAGGGCCCGTGATTCAGTTCTGTTTAACCTGGACAGTTTCCACTTATTCAATTCTGAGAATAGAATCAAAAACTGGTCCAAATGCATCTCAAATGTGTAATAGGAGCCTTTTCTCCAACATGTAAGCCTTAAAATTTTAAGGGAAGAAACACAAAAGATATCCCATATGGCATTCTATAGTGGTTTTTCAGTATGATACTTTTCCAAAAAAACTATCAGTCTAAGTCAAAATTTTCCAAGTCTGGCCTTAGTTTTAAATATGATTTACTTTTCAAATGTTGGAACACAGCCCCTTATTCCATTTGCAAGTGGAAATATTTTCTCTTTCCACCTTAAAAAGCCCTTAGAGATGGTGGTACGTGTATGTATATGTGATCTAAATGTAGTCACCTTTAAATTTGCTTGCAGGGAGTATTTTTAATGGCATATTTTAGCATGAGTCATATTAGTGAGGAGCGGGCCACCATGAGTCATATTAACAAGCAGGGATTATCTGAGTATTGCTCCAGGTCAGTTCTGTCAATGTGCAGGTTTTTCAGGATGAAGATTTTGAAGATGAAAGAAAGAACATGTTAAGAAGAAATGGACATTTTGGTACTGGCTCTATGACCCCTGAACTCCATACCCATCTGAAAGATGAAACCTTTACTCCATCCCTTTTAAATGGAGAGCTATAAGGATTTTGATTTAAAATCTTTGTTGTAATACAGCACTTTGTTAATCCAAGCATACTCGAAAAAAAATGTCCCCAATTCCAAGAACATAAAGTAGTGGAAACTCTGAGTTGCATAGAGATCTAGTATTGAGGAATTGTGGACATGGCCTTCACAGGGTTACTCCTCCGTGGTCCTCCACTTGTTAAGGAGGGGCCATCTACATCATTGCTGTTAACATGGGAGCATGGCAGGCTGGTCAGAAGACTATGTAATCTTGGCCCTGAAAGTCACACCAGGAACAGCGATTTTAGGAAGTAAATAAATCAATAAGATGATCTCACTATAGTTAATCATTTTGCCCAAATCTGCAATATTGGGGAACCTAGAAATGCTTTTTTCCAAAAATAATTGGTTTTGAATGATCCATTCATATATTCACTCAAACAGTATTTCTTGGGCACCTGCTTAAGGTGCTGGGGACACAGCTGAGTGAGTCATAGTCCCACAGGTAAGGTGTGGCCTAAGGGAGACATGTATGTACACAGAAAGTCACGATACATTGGAATAAGTCCCTGGTGGTGTGCAAAATCATGGGATTCACTCTCAGCTTTAGGGGCAAAGCGTCTGACTTTCTGAAAAGGGTGATGTACACAAATGAATTTGTAAATGGCTAGAGTTTGAGAAGTTCAGCTTTTTGAGCTTATATTCAATTAAAAATAATTGACTCCTTATCAGTAATAAGAAGAAAGTTGAGGAAAAAACTTAAGAAGTCAATAAAAAGGTCTGTAAGTTTAGAAATGGGGTGGTGTGGCTCGGTGGTAAAGCATATGCTTAGCATGTGTGAGGCCCTGGGTTCATCCCTGGCACCAAACAAGCAGGGGGGGGGGGGGGGGGGGCCCTGACTGTTAGTTTAGTATCACAAATAATTTAAACTTGCCAAAGTGTCTAAGACGAGGCTGAGTGCATAGAAGTAATGCACAAAAAGGAGAATTGTGGTGAACGCACGAGAAACGGAAAAAATAAAGAAGGTAGTGAAACAAAATAGGCTCATGTAAGACAAAAGCTTCCTCACATCCTTTATCAGACTCTTACCAGACCCAAGTGAGGGAAGAACAAGTCAGGCCAAGAAGCTAAGTAGATTCCTCAGGTCAGAAAGCTAATGCGGCTCCCAGGTCAAGCTCTCTGCCCTTGGTGTTACCATTGTCTTAGAGAAGCCCTGCCAACGGGATGTGCACAGTCCAGCCATGACCGACAGCCATGCTGGCCTCTAAAGGTGGATGATGTCCACGTCACCCTGAGCCAGACATTGCCACTGACTATCCAGAAGCTTCCCTAACAAGATGCTTCAGCTTTCACGAATTCTGCATCCGAGGTTGGTGTATTGTTGGTAAGAAGCAGACCTGCCCTTACTGCAAAGAGAAGGTTGATTTGAAGAGGATGATCAGTAACCCGTATCCTTTTAAAAAGTGTGATACCCTTACCTTAAATGTTTCTGGGGATGTGCTCTTCCATCTAAACATTTATTATCTTTGCATAGTTAACAGCAAAAGTTTCTGTTCTCTCTAGCAATCTATTTCACAACATTTAAAATCTCTTTTCTTGTCTGTGCCTATATTATTCTGGTTAGAAAGTGGAATGCCCCCAGTGTTCCACTCTTTGTGTTTCATATTTTCCACATCAAGGGATTTAGCAGAAATCAGATGAGACCATGTGAAAGATAAGTAGATTACATGGAAAAGTAATCCAGATAGGTGGATGAATAGATAGATGGATTGATATTTAAATGGTTAGACTGAATAGGTGGGTGCAGGGACTGATAGATAAATTGGAAAATTTAAAAGCCCCACGTGTGAATTAAAATATAGAGGAATATTTTTAGGGTGTACCAAATTTGATTATTATCAGAAATGAGTAGGCTTCTCCCCACCCTGGATTTTAGCTTTTTAGATTCCGCAGCATGCCTGATCTCTTAGGCTAGATCCTGGTGATGATGAGATTGAGAGGAAACAAGACTCACAGCCTTGACCAGCTCATGGCATGCCCCCCACCACTGTATACAGAAGGGCAGTGAGTGCTGGCATGGCCCTGCCACATACTCTCTTCCCACAAGACACACTTGCTAAGAAACACCTAAACCTTGCAGGTTAAGGAAGCAGCCTCCTTGCTCCGGCCTCCTCTCTCCCCAGCAGCCCTGAATGTGTGGTCTCCTGGGGGCTGCTGACAGCAGAGCACATGGCAAAGCAGGTGGAGACATCCACGTAGGGCCTTAGAACAGCAGGCAGTGTCCGTGGGCCTTTGGGTCTCAGGCCATGCTGTGGCAACAGAGCCCAGCCTCAACAGCCACCTGATCCTTCACAGGCCTGGCCTCTAGCCTGCTCCCAACTCAAGGCTGGTGGTGCACAACTACCTCCTCCTTCTTTTCCATCCACTGTCCTGAATTTCCCTGCTAACAGGAGGAGATGGAGTCCAGTACAGCTTCTGATTCATAACTTGTAAAACTGTAAGACATAAACCTTTGTTATAAAATTAGTGATAATAGCTGGGCGGGTGACACACACCTGTCATCCCAGTGGCTTTGGAGGCTGAGGCAGGAGGATTATGAGTTCAAAGCCAGCCTCAGCAAAAGTGAGGTGCTAAGCAATTCAGTGAGACCCTGTCTCTAAATAAAATACAAAATAGGGCTGGGGATGTGGCTCCGTGGTCAAATGCCCCTGAGTCCAATCCCCAGTACCCAATTAATTAATTAATTAATTAAATCAATGATAATAGGCTCACAAATGTAACCTTAGATGATAGTTTAAATACCAAAGGATGGTTCAGCGAATCATTTCTTTATATAGTCTGAAGAGAATGAAGTGCTAAATATCACGGGTACTCTTTTTTTTTTTTTTTTTTTTTTGAGACTCAGTATAAGGAAAAGCTACTTGTGAAAGAGCTGCCCTTTGTTCGTAAAACTGCTATCAGAGTCACTATGCGTTAAGTTAAGGTCCCTTAGCAGAAGTTACCAGATTCCAGAAAAAGGAATGTCTTGCCCGTGAACCAGGGTTTTCCTTTTTAATATGTAAGTTCCCTCTGATGTGCCGGCTGCAGGAAAGCTGTTTTTGCTCACTTTCCAATGTGGTCACTCCCTCTGCCTCCTTCATTTAGGATGTACCCTTGCCTTCTATCCTTGTTTTATAGTTTGGGATTTTGTTTTAAATAGTTTCAATTTGTTTTCAGAAAGTGAGTATGGTGTAAATAAAAATGATAAACATAATGCTAAAAACATCATGTGAAAAACCAGGTGCGGTGACACACACCTGTAATCCCAGTAGCTCTGGAGGCTGAGGCAGGAGGATCTCGAGTTCAAAGCCAGCCTCTGCAATGGTGAGATAGTAAGCAACTCAATAAATGTCTCTTAATAAAATACAAAATAGGGCTGGGATGTGGCTCAGTGGTTGAGTGCCCCTGAGTTCAATCCCTGTTACCAAAAAAAAAAAAAAAAAAAAAAAAAAAAAAATCATGTGAGGGCTTTCTTGCTTTCTCTTTTTCTTTCTCTTTCTCTCTCTCTCTCTCTCATTCATTTTCTCTCTCTCTCTCTCTCACTGTTTTGCCCAAGCTGGCCCCAAACTCCTAGGCTCAAGCAATCCTCCTGCCTCAGCCGTCTTAGCAGCTGGGTCTGCACACAACACCATGCCAGCACAGGAAGGGCTTTTAATTGAGCACACAGAATTAACAAGAAAGGAAACAACCATTTATTACATTGCTTACTATATTTTCAAATGATGTTTATGACTATTTCTGTTACTTGGCTGTATACAGAACAACCTCCTTAACACAGACTCAGCTGGGAACGCACCCATTTTTTGTATGGACAAATCCTGGATTGGCTTCGATATCTGGTGGCCTGGCAACCTGTGGTAATAGGAGTCGTTCAAGGCATTAACTATTCACTGGGGCTGGAATAGCACAGCAGACTTACTCCAGCAGCAATGTATTGCATGGCTGAAATATTTTTAAATCTTTGGTTCTATATTTAATATTGATATTCTTTTTTCATTTTAGAGATGATCCCCAGAGTTCAGAAAACTAAATAAAATTTGGTATCACACTTAAAGCAATTTATCTTTGTGCAAAGAATTAAAGAGAAGCTAAATGGTGGAATAAACAAATAAAGTATGCTCTCACATCTTTCCTATCCCAATTGTTTTCTAGAAATCCATGCATGCAGTACATTGGTCATACCCCACATGGCCATTCCACCCCAAGTTTGGCTGAGAATGGTCTCACCTGAAAAGGGTTTCAAGGGTTTTCAAAGTACTTGTCACATAGAGCATGGAGTTATAATTCGTTATAATAATATCATCAGTTCAGTATCTTCAGAGAAAGTAGAACTTTTCGGTTATCTGCAGTTTAAGGATTTTGTCTTTCTACTCAGTGTGCTATCATGTGGAGGCACTACACCCACAAAGCACTTGGACAGAAGGTGGGACTCCTGAAGTCTGCTATATCGGGTGTCACACTTACTCAGTGGGCCACAGCTACTCTGGGGTCCTCGGGGCTGCCGAGTGCACTGCACCCACCCTAGCACGCACTGAAGGGGAAAGAGTCACTCTGCTTTAGTGTTACTCACCGTATGCACACTCACACACGCAAATGCACACATACACGAGGACAGCGTGTTAGCTTATGTGTTCCTGTGACACATAAAATGTGCAACCCAAACAACTTGAAGTTCAAAAAGATTTATTTTAGCTCAGAATCTCAGTGTGTTCAGTCTGTGGTTGGCTGGCTCCTTGCATTGGGCCTGAGGTGAAGCAGGCCATGGTGGAAGGGCATGGACATGGTATTCTTCTTATGAAAACCAGGAAGCAGAAAGAGAGGAAGAGCCAGGGACAAGATAAAGTCCCGATTTTCACACCCCCAAGTGACATACTTCCTCTAACCATGCCCGACCTTCTGACATTTTCCACCTCCTCCCACTAGTCTCTTCAAGTTATTAATCCACCAAATGGATTAATCCACTGATGAGGTTAGAGGCCTCATGGTCCAATCCCTTCCTGAAATCACCACTTCTGCACATTACTGCACTGGGGACCATGTCTTCAACCCCTGAGCTTTGGGGGGACATACCAAATCCAAAACATAACAGACATATGCCATCATCCTATTTCTGTACTCTGCTGTTATCTTTTTCATACCTGAAATCATATCATACTTTTATTCCACGAAGGCAGGGAATTCTGTCTTGTTCCCTACTGTATCCCCAGCACTTACACAGTGCCCAGCATGTAACAGGCACTTAGTAAAAGTAAACGCTTTTCTGAAAGAATGGATCAATTTGACAGGAGAGAACAAAATTAACTGAATAGGGGAAAACAGAAAGAATTAACCTAAGAATCATATGCTGGAACCCCAAAATTGTTCAAATTACTGTTATTTTTTAAACAGTCAACACTGTATACAGAACACTAGATCCCTATTCTGCAGCACTTGAGGACACCTTCTGCATCACACCTGCATGAAGTAGGAAGGAATACATCAATTATTATTTTCCTTGTCTAAATATTGACAGTGACTTAGTGTTATTCAAAGTTCTGTCATCAGTGTGTTCACAGAATTACACTATTCTACCATTATGTATGAATATCTCCATAATAAAAAATTTAATCCCTCCCCCAAATTTCAAACAAGTGTCCAGTGCTATAGAACTGATTAAATGATGGCCTACTCATAGAGAGGGATAGTACTCAGTTGTTAAAAATGATGGTTTCCTCTCAAAAAACTAGAAATAAAACTTCCATCTGATATAGTAATCCCACAACTGGGCATATATCCAAAGGAAACAAAATCAGTGTGTTGAAGAGATATGTGCACTCCCAAATTTACTACAGCATTCTTCACAATAGACAAGAGGTAGAATCAAACAACATGTCAATTGATGGATAAATGGATAAAGAAAATGTGGGAAATATATACGATGCATTAGTATTCAGCCACAAAAAAAAAAATGAAATTCTGTCCTTTGCAGCAAAATGAACAGAACTGAAGAATATTATGTTCAGTGAAGTGAGTCAGGAAGACAAAGACAAATACCACATGTTCTCACTAATATATGGAAGCTAAAAAGTTGATCTCCTGAAACTAGGGGAACAGCTTGATAGGTGCTTGCCTGGTATGTGCAAGGCCCTGGGTTCAATTCCTAGCACTACCCACACATAAAATGTTGATCTCATAGAAGCAAAGAGAACAGTGGCTGGGAAGGGTGTGGAGGAGGGAGGGATGGAGAGAGGCTGGTGAGCAGGTAAGGAGGTGCAGTTGGAAGAGAGCAATGACTTCTGTTCTGTGGCACAGTAGGATAACCATGGTTAACCACAATTTGTTGCATATTTAAAAGTAGTTAATAAGGGAGATTTTAAATGCCCCTAACAGAGAAATAATAAATATTTAGGTGATGGGTATGCCAATTATACGCTGATATGATCATTGCACATGGTATACACATATTGAAATATCACGTTGGCCCCCATAAATGTACAATTATTAAATGTCAATTAAAATAAAAAACATTTTTTTTAAAAAAAGTTCTGTCATCAAGAGAACTCACATGATGATTTCCACCTGTTGGTAATTTTCCTTCTTCAAACTGCCCAGTGCTTCATTATCATATGGGCATCACCATCCAGGTTACTAGATTTAATCACAATTCATTTCCCTACTCAGCACATAGTTCAATAATTCAATGCTTCAATATTTATACTAGGCATATTCAAGGGATAAAGAGATAAACCAAGTTTTTTGAGCTTACAGTCCATTGACAAATAAAAGATCTTGCATCTGAAAAATTAGTTTTTGTTCCAAAAAAGGGTCCCATACACTGATCTCTGATGTATTTGCTGCTTGCCCTTTTTGGACAGCTGCATGAGGGTAGCTTCTGGAACCTTAAAATTCTGGGCAGCTAAAGCAATATTTCTCTTCATGGAGTTCAAAATGGTCCTTGCAGTTCAGAAATGTCAGATAACCACTAAACTAGTCAGCTTTCCATGACTGAAGCGAGTACCTGAGATCAGCAAGTTAAAAAGAGGAAAGGTTTATTTTAGCTCACAGTTTTGGAGGTTTTAGTCCCTGGTTACTTGGCCCCATTGCTTTGGGGTCTGTGGTGGGCAGTAAATCACGGCAGGAAGCTCATGCCCGAGAAAGGTGCCCACTTCATGGGAACCAGGAAGGAGAAAGAAAGAGGAAGAGGAGGAGTCAGAGTCCCGATATCCCCTTCAGGGACTTACCTTCAATAACCCACCTACATTCCACTAAGCCCCATCTCCTAAAAGTCCTACCACCTCCCAGTAGTGCCACTGGCTGGTGATCAAACTGTCAACACCTGACACTTCAGGGGACATTCAATGTGCAAAATGTAGCAATCAGTAAACAATAAAAAAAAGGAATATGCCATTTTCTTTATAAACTGTAAGTATTTACAGTCTAATCTCAATTTTGTGAAGTACTATGTACACCTACATTGATAAAGATTGGAGAGCTATATACTAGTTACCAGTGGTTATATATACTAAGGTGATGGAATAAGAGCTGATTCCTATTTTTATATATTATCTTTTCTAAAAATTTTTCAGTGGTGTTCAACATTGTAATAAAAAATTATAAAGATTATTTTAAGGGTAATCTTAAGTCTATCAATAAACTTTGAGGCTATTTCTATTGGTATTCAAAAAAAAATTTTTTTTCTTAAGGGAGGGCCTCACTAAGTTGCTTAGGGCTGAGGCTGGCATCAAATTTGCAATTCTCCTGCCTCAGCCTTCAGAGCTGCTGGGATTGCAGGCCACACGTGCCACCCCGCCTGGCTGCTGTTCAAATTCTTAAAGCTAAATATATAAATCAAGTCAATGTATCTCTGGTTCTCACAATAATCAACATGGTGCTTAGTATAGGCAGTGGGAAAGAAAAGCAGAAAATTCATTGCTGTTGGGGTTTCCTTCTGCTGAACCTACCCCCCACACACACTTTTTTTTTTTTTTTTTTGGTCCTGGGTATTGAACTTGGAGACATTCGACCACTGAGCCACATCCCCAGCCCTATTTTGTATTTTATTTAGAGACAGGGTCTCACTGAGCTGCTTAGTGCCTTGCTGTTGCTGAGGCTGGCTTTGAACTCACAATTCTCCTGTCTCGACCTCCTGAGCCACTGGGATTACAGGCATATGCCACCACACCTGGCCTAAACCTACCCTTTTTTCCCCTTAGGCTGGTGTGTTTCCTTTTCCACACTCTCCTGGGACTTGGTATGAGAAGCACTATGTGAGTTCTCCAAGATTAACACCTGATACATACTGAATGAACTTATTTCCTTTGGGTAATTTTGTGAACAGCAGGGTTCCTTTTATCCCTGCTAGTCCTGATGATAGAAAAAAAAATCCACTTAAACCTATAATTTTATAAAGAAATGTATCCCTTCCTGAAAAATTATAATAGCTCACATCTACACCAGGCATTGCTGCCATATCACATCAGGCAAAATGATTCTCATTCTCGCAGGCTTGGAACCCTTGCCCTCCTCACACCCTCCAGAAGCAAGGGTACCAAAGAGCATGTGCTCTGTGGATTACACTCAGTGCTGCGTTCCAAACCTAGCAGGTGCAGGTGATTGTCCCTATTTTGAGGACAAGAAAACATTTTGAATCAGGCCAGGTGACTTGTCCAAGGTTATACATCTGCCAACCCAGATCTCGTCTCACTCCAGAACCCAATTAACCACATAAGCCTAGTCTGGTTGAGATTTGAGCAGGGGTCGAAGGTGGTTCACTCCCTTTCAAACACAGTTCCCAGCAAAGAAGAAAGCTGCACAGAATCAGAAACGAGCTCTTAGCAAAGAGTGCTCATCCGAATTTAATGTGTTATTAAATCTTGATTATAGAAATTGATATATGCTAGCATGATCATCAAATTATTGTTGACTGAACTGTTTCTGAATCATGATAAAGAACCGTTAGGTATATAGTTATTTAAAAATCTGTTCAGCTCACATGGGTTGTTTAAAAATTTTCAGAAGGAAAAATTTTAAAAGGAAAGCTCTCTCTTTTTTTTCATATTAGAAACATGACTTTCAAATAAACCGGGAGCAGTGGCACACATTTGTAATTCCAGTGGCTTGGAAGGCTGAGACAGAAAGATGACAAGTTCAAAGCCAG